AAAAATGCTACCACCATGAACAGGCATACTGTTATTTAAATCAAATTTAATGTGTGGCTATAACGTTATCCATTGGTTCCGCCATTTTGTTTCAGAACCAATGAAAAGTTTGACAACATTGGCCAGACTCTTATTTCCAGGGACTCTAGGCCGGTATAGCGATCGTAAAAACTCTTATGGGCCTGGCTGCTCTCATTCTTCTCTCTGGTGTAACACAGTGTCGCCTGTGTACGTAGTTGAAAAGCACCCTCTATTATAAGGGTCTCTACACTTGATTCAATTAGAGAAGAGAATTTTACTGCGCATAGGAGAAGAAAAACGGGCAGAGTAGGGATAGCGTTGCGTGCGGGATTGGCGAAACACTTGCTGACAGCCAATGGCTGTGGAGTGGAGAGACTGTTTTGTAGGGGAAGTGCGCGAAACGAACGCGTTTTTGTCCGTCAAAATTCTCTTCTCTATTTGAATCGAGTGTAGTACAAGTCGTTCGTGGACATAGCTACGTAGTTGCCAATGTGCACCGCCTATGGACATTGCGCTGGCTTACAGAGTGGAAAGCGATTACACATTCTCTTATGGGTCTGGCCGCTCTTAGTCTTCTCCCTGCTTTAAGTAAGCGTTGGCAAGCGTTTAAATACATTTAAATGGCTGCGAATCTCTAATCAACAATGTCAGATTTTAACGAAGGAGTAGACGGAAAGTTGGCATTTAGAATGCGAAAAGTTAATCCAGATCAGTTTCATACACTTGTAAAAATGCATCTGTCCTTTGAATTGGATCTTAATGCAGAGGAGTAAGTGATAATCTATTCTTTCACATTGCCTATATGTACTTTATAAATATCTATTTACACATGTTTTATGTTATTTATGTTATTAATACTATTCTGATAAAGCATTGTGCTTTGATGAATATAAGTTATATTTATTTTTATATTTTGAGATTTATTGTTAAGTTTATTGATAATCAATTGGTTTTTAGCAATATTTTGTGAATGTATAGTTTGTGTATGTATGTGTGTGAGAGAGAGAGAGAGAGAGAGAGAGAGAGAGAGAAAGTATACAAAATTAACGTTATAAAAACTATTTTGATACGTATAGTCAAACTTCTCTTTTATTTTTTTTATATTCTTGTCTCTTCTGTATGCTTTAAAATTTTCTCATTACTTTTGTTTTTTCCTACAAGTAGTGATTGAAGAAAGTGAATAAGAATAAAAAGGGAATCTGATCATGACTTGAAGAAGAGTTTGCTTGCATGCATGCATGCATGTGTGTATATGTGTGAGTGTGTATGTATATTTATAGCTGTACTTTTTCATATATTTTTTATGTACATTTTTTATATATATGTTTATTTACATATATATTATAAATATATGTAAACAAATATATTATATATATGTATACATATATAGTTCTTATTTATATATTTATCTTTTTGTAGTGATGGTATTAATGAAAAAGCACCACTGAAAAAATGGGGACTTCTGAGTTTTGCTAAGAAATCCAAGTCCTCTATTAATACAGATAAAACTGAAGGTATTACATTGTCTGAAGATGGTATAAAGCAGGTGATGCAGTTAGTAGAATATTTGTCTAAAGAACAAAGTAAGTAGAATAGTTTATACTGTCTATAATATCTATAATGAACTATAATATATACTTATATGTATATGTTTATTCTCACGGTACAGATATTGTACAAGAAGGAATATTTCGTCGTACTGGAAAATTGACTAGACAACAGGACCTAAAAACAGCTATGTCCCAAGGCTTATCTTTAGATTTTGGTGATGGCAGATTCAGTGTACATGATTGTGCTTCTGTGTTGAAAGGATATCTAGCAGAATTATCAGAACCACTTCTGACTGATTCACATTATCCAGCTCACTGTCAAATAGCTGGTAATGAATAAAATGTGCATGGATTTGCTTGAGCATTATATAGGGCGTCCTGCAACTGCCGTTACTTTGTGTGTGTGTTTGTGTGTGTGTGTCACACACACACACAAACACACACACACATATGTTATATTTATAAATATTTCAATTATTTGCAGAATTATGCAGTTTAGATACAAAAGCAAGTGACGCAAGATTATTGAGTTCTTTACAATTGCTTCTTTTGCTTTTGCCACTTCCTAATAGAGTTTTGTTGAAAGCTATTCTTACTTTGTTGAATAAGACAGCTAGTTATGAACATAGCAACAAAATGAATAGCAATACATTGGCCACTCTATTTACACCACATTTATTATGTCCGCGGAAATTGTCACCTGAAGCTTTGCACATTAATTCTCAGAATTTGTCATGTTTAGTTGCCTTTATGATTCGAAAAGGTGTAGAATTATTTGAGATTCCACCAAAATTAGCTACAGATATAAGAGCATATTGGATAGAACAGGAAAGGAAATTATTAAGTCCTAAAAAGGCTGATGTAAGTTTTATAATAAAAGTAGTATATTCGTGTTTACCATGTGACAAAAAAACACTTAACTTACAGTTGAATGAGTCAGTGCCAGATACAACTAGTACAGCTCACACTGTATTCAGTTTTGTCGATCGTAAATTAACAGCAAAAGCAAATTCAACACAAGACACACAGGCAGCTTTAGCTCAGCTGTACGCTCATATACAAGCTATGCCAGAATCAGCTAAGAAGCGACGACTCGTCAAACAATTCAACAAAGAAAATGGTCAAGGTACACCTAGGCATATAAAACATTGCAAGACAAAAAGCCTTGGAGACTCCATCAAGAAACATATTTTTCAAAAGAAAATTTTAGGATGCAAGAAATTTGGTGATAATACTGAATGCAATATCACTAGATCGAGCAGCGAAGAAAACATATTGTCAATGGTAAGGCTTCGTGCATGCGTGCTTACGATCTCTTTCAATAAAATAATTTTAAAAATTTAAATAAGGTTTTTATATAAAAAGCACGTAAAAATAATCTTTTATATATTTTTAACAAAAGCACACATCTAATATTTTCATCTAATATTTATCTTTGCATATGTGCAGAAACTCGAAGACTCAATGCTTCCTTCAAGAATGCTTCTTAGTAAATCAAATGACGAGCTTAGCACAGAAAATTGTAATACAACTGACAATGATTTCTTACATAGTAAGCATATCAATAGTAATAGCAATAATCTTACAAATGAAGTCTTAATGAGTTTTGATGTACAAGATAAGGTAGATGATCGATCTATAAATGTGGGAGAAAAATCAGATGATAAAAATACACATCATAATACAGAAGACAGCTCAAATTCAATGCAAATCTATTTGAATAGAAGTGTACAAAATAGCAATGTAATGATTAGTGACGATAGACGTTCTGATATTGATAAATTAACGCGAACAATCAATGAGCCACATGATATATACTCTACTTGTAATGTTATTAATTGTGGTAATTTATCAGTTACTGATGATATTTTTGTACGGCAAAACTCGGAATCTGTGTTTGCATCTACTGCAATGCCAAATGTACAAATCACCTCTTCAAAGACTCGTGCATCAAGTATCAAATCGCCTGAAATTGTTACAAATGACGAGCCATATCCTGGGAGCTCATGTGCACATAGTTTACAATCTCCAATTATAAGAAACAGATTTAAGAACGTGTATTCTGTTCATACATCGACGCCGTCGAGTTTATTACGACAAAGCTTGGCTACTAATGATTATATCTCGACTCCTAATACTAACAACGATAAAAGCATGAGTCCTATTACACAAAGTGCAACAAAAATGACAAAAGCCATGCAGGTATTTGAGAATGCTAAACTAATATAAAGTATAAGTAATCTAAAAAAGGCAATAAAGTACAGTCACTCTCAAAAGTCTATATCTATCTAATCTGGCATAACAATTTAAGATAAATTACGAATATATGCTGTTGTAAAATTGTCATATTTACACACACACACACGCATACACGCGCGTGCGCGCACATACACATACGAGAGAGAGGGAAAGGAGAGAGAGAGACGATTCCCAATTTCCTTAACAATGGTTACATAAAAAACAGCGTAATTTTACAAAATACTTAAACATAAATCTTTAACATAATATTTCAAGTTTCATGCCAAACAAACTGCATCAGTATTAACAAAAACTCAAGAAAATATTTAAAAAATAATATAAACATCTTTAACATTTTGTAATATCTAAATTTGTGTAAAATGATGTTATTGATATTTTGTTGTAAATAAATTTAATAGGTTTTTTTTACAGTATTTCTAACACTGACAAATTTTCAATATCTATCTCTAAGAGTATTGAAACTTTCATAGTTTCGATAATATTACAAATTTATTGATAGATATAATTCATATGTAGACTTTTGTGACTGACTCTGATTCTGTGTATGTGTATTATTTAAATACAAATAATGGATATACACTATTTGAATTTTATTAACACAATTGAATTTTATCATGATATGAAGCTTAATATAATATTTAATATAAGCTTAAGATATTTTATTTGTTTCTTGCAATTTGTTATAACAGGAAACTATGATGACTCCACGCTCCAGAAAGCCAGTAATGATGGTCTCAACTTCAAATCTTTGTAATCTCGTTACTGACAGTAGCTGCAATGCGCATATATTAAATTTAGACATGGTTGGTGCAATAAATAACTGCACTTCTATTTTGGAAGAATCCCAAACATATAATAGTACGGCGGATAATGTATCTTCTCATATAAAAGAGACAGAAATAAACACATTAGATACGCTTACGAAGCATAAGGAAGCATGTATACACATTGGTAATTGTTGCTCTTGTACGCAACAAGTACAGCAAAGTTTAATGTCTCTAACGAGTACATTTAAAGAATATCTGCTTTCGAGAAGTGTATTAACTGCGAGTCCCGTTGATCTTAGTTTTACGTCGCGGACAGGCGACTTTGAGCAGTCAGAATCCGACCTAAATATTTTCAATGATGATACAGTGTCTGACAGTTTGTTACATTGCTTGAATGGTAACCAACCGGAGTCTGATACTTCTGGCATAGCATCCGTCAGCACAAATAGTACAAATTCCACGGAAAAAATTGAAATTTTTTCTCCGAGAAAACGAGGAACCAGTTTACAACGAAATGACTCGAAAAGATCTGCTAAAGATAGTTTAGTGAAGAGCTCAAGAGACAAAGAATTGAAACATGGACGAAATGAATCAACATTAAGGCATATAAACATGCAGGACAGTTTTCAGGAGACATCGTTTTAATTTATTAAGATTCGGTAATATTATAAATATCGTATGTTATTGAATAGATTTTCTTTAAAATTTAAACAGTTGCTAGATACTTGTAGTCATAATATAACATTAGAAGCAAAAAACCGTATATAAATGAATATTGATCATGTACTTTTATACATCAAAATAAGTGTTTTATATATTGTCACAATATTCGAAAATATATATTGGTAAATTGTATCGAAGCCTCCTCTCTCTTTTCCGTTTCTCATTTTATATTAATATATTAATATAATGTATAAGTCACATTCTGCATATGTCCGTATTTGTTTAAGCAAAATGAGCCTTATGAAATAAATTTATCAAGATTGTTTTCGAGTTTGAACCGCGTTAGTGTCATTTTTATTCCGACGTTTTGTAAACATTTCAGTTCATTTCATCACGATTTCAAGAGAGATTTATATATATAATATACTATGTATGTATACATATATAGTATATATAGTATATAATATATATATATATAGTATAATATATATAACATATATATAAAATATACTATATACCCAGCAAACAATTTGGTTGCGAGATGTCGCAGTTTTGTCGCCAACCGCCGGCGAAATTAGTAGACCAAATCCATATCCATCTGTGTCCTCATTAGGATATGGTTTGGCGACCATATCTGTCAAACATGTGAGATGTCAAAATGAGACCAAAATCATAACAAGTCTGCCACTAGCAAAGCAAATCTAAAGTGACGCCAGGGACTTAATACCGGTATGATTTCAATACCGGTATTATACTAGAGACTGTATACCGAAACCGATATAGTACCGAAATTGAGTCTTACCGTTACCGTTATAGTACCGAAACCGATATATTACCGAAA